TTAGTTTTTTACTGTTCCCATAGTGTAATAAATTAGTCCTGTTTGATTCAATTTATTATTAGTTTTGCTCATCTCATTTGGTGTGTTCCCACTAATTTTTAGGTGCTTCAGCAGTGACTGGCATTTCCTTAGTTAGTTGACATTTACTGAGTTTTCAAAATACTATAAATGATGGAATCAGGGCTAAGAAAGAGAAACCAGTCTAAGGTTTGGTGTATGTTACATGATTGAAAATGGTGTTGCTGTTGGATGATATTTATGTATTGTTAGCGAAATTGACACACATATCTGAATATATCTTTGAGACTACATGGCACCCATTCATAACATATATGCACCATGCAAATTCTGAATATGGCCCACCATTGAACCATATGATGTTTTGAAAGCTATCATGCTGAAAGCTTTTTGGATATTGATTACTCTCTGTCGCTTCCATTTGACTTTGATAGTAATTGTCTTATTGTACTTTGAATCATAGAGTGTTGGTTAGTACAGGAGCCCTTAGTATCCGCTGGGGTTTGGTTTCATCCCCTGTGGATATCAAAATATGTGGATGCTGGTCCCATCAAATACAGTGGCATAGTAAAATGGTATTCTTTGCATAAAATGTTTTTTGGAATTCACATTTTCAATGCGACTCCATGGATATGGAATCTGTGGATACAGAATGCCAACTGTATTCTACATCAGCTGCTTAGTGAATATCAAACATTTACCTAGATTTACTCATCTATAACTGTTCCATATTCATGACTGCTACTTAGTCATAATTGTGACACTACTACCACATCTTTTATATCCGCCTCCCCTTTTGCTGATCATCAGCTGCATGTGGAGGAAAGTCCATTCTACTGGTAATCAGAGCATGGGTGAATGATGTTTCAATCAGGTTTGGGGGAAGAGGTTAGGCCAAGAGAATTAAGTAATTAGCTATTTAAGGCCTTTGCAGACTGCCAGAAATAGTGCACATTAAATTGAGGCACTGCCCTGGCTCAATGCTAGGGAATCATGGGAACTGTAATGTATTGTGGCACCAGAGCTCTCTCACAGAGAAGGCTCAATGTCTCAGAAAAAATACAATTCCCATGACTCCCTAGCACTGAGCCAGGGCAGTGCCTCAATTTAATGTGCACTATTTCTGGCAGTCTGCAAAGGCCCTTAGTTAGTAGTTAAGTAAATTGGTAGTTACACTGTTCTTTAGATAACTAGTTATTCAGTTAGTAGTTAAGTATTTTAAGTAGCTAATGTAGACTAGTGGCCATTGTGTGTGGTAGGGAGGGTGGGGAGAAGCTTATTTACTATTATATTATGTAACTGCTAATAAAAACAATTATTATATTATGTAACTGCTATATTATGTAAAAACTATTATATTATGTAACTGCTAATAAAAACAATTCTTTTAAAAAGTAACAGTTTTTACAAATGGAAAAAGGGTTGAAAAGACAAACTAGCTAGAAGCTTATCGCTCAAGCAAAAGAGGCGTCTTACCTGTTCTGGGTTCAATCCTTGATTGGGGATACACCCAGATGTTAGCACACATAATTCACCACCAATTCTGCCATGATGCTGCCAGACGAATCCAACCTGGGTCCAAGGATTGCTCAGCTGGACAATTTTTAAAGTAGGAAAACTTCTATTTTCAAAAAAGCGTCAGCTGACCACACCTTTGACCCGGGCTCCATTTGGCAGAATCGGCGGCAAATTATGTATGATAACATTCGAGTGTACCCCCGATCGAGAATTGAACCTGGAAGAGGTAAGACAACTCTTTTGCCTGAGCAATAAGCTCCTAGGCTAATAAGTCCTGAAGTACATGACATGTTTGGAAATGCTCTCAGATGGTAGTTATAAATTTCTTATTGTTAAAGAACTATAATAAAACCAACAGATAATAATCTAGAGACAGCTTGCATGGCCTCATACCTTCCTGTGATCAATGGCAAGATTGTGTTTGGGACCACATTTTTTAATGAGGTAACATCTAGTTCTGGTTGGAAAGGTAACAGGAGTGAGGCAAACTATAAAATGAGATTATTGTCCTCATAATGGGGCAATTGCTAAAAGCACTGAGAATGGATATTCTGGAGGAGGGGGGGGCTTTCTTTCCATTATTAAATATGGTTCTTCTGCCAAAATATAGAGTTTTTGTTTTACAAGAGTGGTTAATGTCTTAGAAAGCATTAAGCTGCCCAGTTGTATCCTAGAACAGTGCGTCCAATACTATTTGAGGTGGGGGACTGCCAGTTATTATTTTCCCACTAGGAAAAGGTATTCACTGTCTTAGAAACTATCATGATTCAACTGTTCATTGCATTTTTGGCCACTCTTTCTTCAGAGAAACAGGAAGATGGAAAAGTGATGAAATGCCTAATCACTTGGTCCTGGAGATGTAGGGGGGTTGCAGACTGCCAGAAATAGTGCAAATTGAGTCCACTTTTAGGGTTAGGGTTAGGGAATCATGGGAACTGTAGTTTATTGTGGCACCAGAGCTCTCTGACAGAGAAGGCTCAATGTTTCAGAAAAAAAAACAACTCCCATGATTCCCTAGCACTAACCCTAACCCTAAAAGTGGACTCAATTTGCACTATTTCTGACAGTCTGCAACCCCCCGTAGTTTGCCTATGACCTGGATGGGCCATGAGAATAGCGAGTAGGCCATTCGTGGCTCTTTGAGCATTTGTTTGGCATGCCCAACCTTCCCATTTCTGTAAATCAACCAGTGACACAAGATACACTACCAAAATCAAAACCACAACTGTTTTAATGTGACACAACCACTGAGCCCACATTAGAAGATTCTCTTCCTTCCCCTTCAGATATGAACTCCAAAAATGTAATTACAATTTAAAGTCTTATAATTTAAGGTCTTAGCATGCCTTTTTGTTAAGTGTTATTTGTTATAATCTGTAAAACTGTTTTATAAATACACATACACATGCATATATGCATTTGGCCTAAATATTCTAAAGGCACACCAGAGCCTGTCTTGTCTTAGAAGTTCAGCAGGGGCAGACCTGATTAGTTCTTGGATGGGAGACCACCAATGAATACAAGTTGCTGTAGACTATATTTCAGACGATGGAATGGCCAAAACCATCCCTGAGCAGTCTTTGCCTAAGAAAACCCTATGAAATTCATGGGGTCGCCATAAGTCAACAGATGACTTGAAGCACTTACCCACATATATGTATATATAACTAATGTAATGTAATGTATATATAACTAATGTAATGTTTGAAAAAAGAACAGTTTTTTAAAAAATGTGCCTCCCCCCCACCTTTACCCTGGAGAAATTCTGTTTGATGCTCTCACAAGACTCTTTGGTGCAGGATGACTCTCTAGCCTCCTTCTGCATCTTATTGACATCAAATCTCACTAGTAAACACGGCAGTGCCTGGAATGCAAAGGTTGGGCTTCCAAAGAGTTGAGGACAGGGGGATTGTTGTTGTTGTTGTTAGATAAATAGAATCATAGAGTTGGAAGAGACCACAAGGGCCATCTAGTCCAACCCTGCCATGAAGGAAGACACAATCAAAGCACCCATGACAGATGGCCATCCAGCCTCTGTTGTTAAATTAAGGTGAGATGTGGACAGAGGGATTGTTGCTGTTTCTAACTCATGGCAACCCTAAGGCAAGTCTATCACAAGGTTTTCTTGACAAGATTTGCTCAGATGGGGTTTGCCTTTGCTTTCCTCTGAGGTTGAGAGTGTGTGACTTACCCAAGGTCACCCAATGGGTTTCCATGGTTCAGCAGGGATTTGAAACCTAGTCGCCAGAGTCGTAAGAAATAGTTAAGAAAATTATTATTATTATTATTACCCAATACTCAAAATACTACACTATGCTGGTTCTCAGATGTGGGAGCTGGTGGGGAGGAATGCATGCATCTGAGTCCAAGAAATGGCCCATGGCTGTACTGTGTAAAAAAGTGGGTTTTACTATATCACAGCAACAAAGAGATGAATAGGGGTGCATCTATACTGTAGAAATAATGCAGTTTGACACCAACTTAACTGCTATGGCTCCATCCTACAGAATCCTGGGATTTGTAGTTTTGTGAGGCATGAGCACTCTTTGGCAGAGAAGGCTAAAGAAAGACTTTGTAAAATGACAAATCCCAAGGATTCCATAGAATGGAGCTATAGCACTTAAAGTGATGTCAAATGGCATTATTTCTACAGTTTTAGATGCATCCTAAGTGCATATTGTATAGCAACAAATAGATGACAAGTGAAAGAGCTTTCTGGTTCTCCCCTGAAAGAGTGTGGAAAATGCTGATTGTACTGTCTCCAAATTTCACTTAGAAACTCTGGCCACATTTTTTTTTTAAAAAAAAGCGGGGGGGGGGGGAGGAAAAGAAAAGAAAAGAAAAAAGAAAAGAAAAGATGTGCATTAAGGCAGAAGAAGCAACCTTGTTGCTATGACAGCAGATGTATTTGAAAGCCCAGCTAAGAGCCATACAAGCTTTCAGATAAACAATGACTGATGGTCTGGTCTTGTAAATGGGCCTCCTGAGAGGGAAACAGGTGAAGAAGTGCAAGTCATTTGGCAAAGTGCAAAACATTTGACCAAATGGATTATTTTCTTCTGAAGAATATAGATACTTCCATCACTCGTACATCTCAGGAAATTTCCTACAGAGGTGAAACTTTAAACAGAGATCTGTCCCAAACTGGCCAGAGAACATGTGTGCATCAATCAGGTTTCAATTGCCACTTAGAAACATTACTTCTCCATGCTGGATGGGGGATTCTGAGAATTGCAGTCTAAAAAGAAATATTTCCAGGACATGATTTGTATGCTGCTTCTGTTAACATATGTAGCACAACTTCATACTGAAATGTTCCGTGATGGAGTCCAAATGTTAGTCTGTCTAGGGCAGGTTTCTCAACATCACCTAATAATAACTTTGCTTATTTTGTTTTTGCATTCTGGGTGACACTGCATGAATTTTTCAATGACATTGTTCAATTTTATTTTTTATTTTGAAGAGGCAGCATGGTATAATGATTCGAATGTTGGACTATAACTCTGGACACCAGGGTTCAAATCCCTGCTTGGCCATGGAAACCCACTGGGTGACCTTGGGCAAGTCACACTCTCTCAGCTTCAGAGGAAGGCAAGAGAGGGTGGAGGACATACAGTTCTTGGTCTGTTTGTCACACATTCCTGCAACACACTAGGATTATATATTGTTATGTGATTTTATCTTGTTTGTAGATATATTTTAATTGTTTCGAATTTTATTGAATTTGTAAAAAAAAATTTATCTGTGAGCTGCCTTGGGTCCCTCCAAGGCAGCACACAAATGAGATAAACAAACAAACAAACAAATAAATATTGGACCAGGATTCTTACATCTGAACCAAGTCTATTAAGGCTGCTCATTATAGAAGACAACTAGACATGGGAAAACCTTGTGCAATACATGGAATATTAAGCCAATCTGGAGAGGAACAGGAAATGTGAACTTGTGGCTTTGTTCCTTTTTGCTCTTATGTGGCACACAGAAGATTTCTGCAGCACTATGTTAGCCAAAATGAATAATATGGCAACAACTAAGGCATTACTTTGCAGGTAGGTTAAATTGCAAATTCAACCAAACATGCATTCACTAGTATTCTAGTGATACTGTGTATCATGATTCAGTATCTAACAGCCTTCTCTAACCTGATGTCTTCCACTCTATTCTGCTTTGGTCAGGCCTCACCTGGAATACTGTGTCCAGTTCTGGGCACCACAATTCAAAAAAGATGTGGAGAAACTGGAGCGTGTCCAAAGGAGGGCAACTAAAATGGTGAAGGGTCTGGAAACCAAGCCCTGTGAGGAACGACTTAGGGAGCTGGGGATGTTTAGCCTGGAGAAGAGAAGGCTGAGACGTGATATGATAGCTGTGTTTAAATATTTAAAGGGATGTCATATTGAGGAGGGAACAAGCTTGTTTTCTGCCGCCCTAGAAACTAGGACCCGGAACAATGGGTGCAAACTCCAGGAAAAAAGATTCCACCTCAATATTAGGAGGAACTTCCTGATAGTAAGGGCTGTTCGACAGTGGAACACACTCCCTCGGAGAGTAGTGGAGTCTCCTTTCTTGGAGGTCTTTAAGCAGAGGCTAGATGGCCATCTGTTGGGGATGCTTTGATTGGGAGTTCCTGCATGGCAGGGGGTTGGACTGGATGGCCCTTGTGGTCTCTTCCAATTCTATGATTCTATGATTCTATGTGTTATGGACTTCAGTGCCTATTTGACCCAGCCAACATCACCACTAGTGTTCTAAAACTTCTTGAAGCCACCATGGTGGGGACGGCTGATTCACATGCCACATACAGTGGTATATAAAGTCCTCAATATGGATAATGGAGACATGAATTCAAATCTGTGTTTACCACTGGAATTTTACTGGAAGCAAATTCAACTTACCAGTTTCCAGAGTTGCAATGAAGACCACATAGGATAATGTTATGTACACAGCTTCTTGGAAATAAACATATTTGGTGCTCCTATTCAGAGCTCGGAAATACTAAACTGTTCAACTACAATTTTCTGAATCCTGCTGCCAGCACACTCCTAGCTTTTAGACTAAAAAAGCTTCTAGGATAGGTTGATTAAAATAAATATATATATATTCAGCGCTCCTATTTAGAACTGGGAAACATTAATTTTTCCCCCAACTGCAATTTTCAGAATTCTCCTGTTTGCATGACCTTAAGATTTAAGTCATAAAAGGGTAGCATTCACAACCTCTGATCCTAAGATAGTTCATCCTAGCAGGTAATGTGAGACATGGAAAAAGCAGAATAGAAGGCCCCATAGTAGCATGCTTATTATGTGTCGAATGCAGCAGTTTTAGATGAAATTCTTAACAGTCAAATAATCTCTTTTGCGCTTTACAATATGAATGCTGTGAAGTTCTGTCAGCTCACTATATAATTACACTAGGCATGTGTTCTATCAAGATGTTCCTTATTGAAAATCAAGAACTTCAGAGTGACCTATTTTTTTGTTATCAGCTTGTGGAAATGTTAGGAAATGCTTTGAAAATGAATATGCTAAGTAATCATCAGCATGCTAGAAGGAAACCAATCCCCCCTCCCCACTCCATAATTGTGACATTCTTCCAAGGATGCTGCCTGTCAACGCCCTCTTCCAGAAATCAATTATTAATAGCCAAGACTGATTAAGCACAAAACACTCCATCAATTCTGTAATCTTGAAGAGTAGAGACAGGGATTAGATAAAATTAGCAACATTAATAATATGGATCTGTGTCAAAATGAAATCCCAGTCCTGCACCTTGAACCAGTGATTCTGGGAACTGATTCAAATGTTTTGAAAAAGCATATGGCACATGGTACCACTTAAGGAGGGCAAGCTGCGTTGTGTGGGGAGGTATATATTTATTTTGTTTGATTGCCATGTTTCTGTCCTATCTTATCCTCAGTTATGTTCCATCCTCTGCATTAATCAGCCAGTAGACATGGAAAGCTAGATTGTCAGGGAGGATGTTAGTGTAGAACATTTCTGACCATGGATAGAGTTCTTCATATATAGCAAAGGCGGGAAAACTATTTTCAGTACAGTGGGGGAAACTTTTTTCAGAATTCAGTTTCAGAGAAGCTATGGAGTGCCACATTCTGTGCTGGGTAGAGCCAAATGCAAAAACATGGAATCAAAGTTATCAACACATTTTCATAACCCAAGCTGCAGCTATACTGTGGTATTAATGCAGTTTGGCACTGCTTTAATTGCCATGGCTCAATGCTATGACATTCTGGGGATTGTAGTTTTTTTGTGATATTTAGTCTTCTCTGTCAGAGAACTTTAGTGCCATAACAAAGTACAAATCCCAGAATTCCATATGATGGAGCTATGACAATGAAAGCAGTGTCAAACTGCATTAATTCTGCAGTGTGGCAGCAGCCTCAAACTGAGAGGAGGGATTTCAAACTTATATAATGGGGAGAAAATCCATGCAAAAGCTGGGGAACCCCCAAATGATGATGTCATGAGGAAGTGGTTGTGGCCAATAAAGAAATCCTAGAGGGTTCATTTTCAGCCCCCAGAAGCCCTGATATTCAAGCACACCGCAATATATATAGAAGGTTTGATGTGGAAGTATATTCTGAATATGCATTCTAGTGCTGAATTCTGGAACAATATAGCTACAGGAGGACTCTACCATGTCCTTTCTTGAAAGATATGGATTACTCCAAGATACTGTTGACTGGTGAGCAAACTATCAGGGCTCCCATCTCCTGAGAAGGGCAGATATCTCTCTGAAAGACTGGATACTAGGCATGTTAGCAGGAGGCCATAGTGGGGCAACACTCATCACTTTGGGAACAGAAACTATCAGAAAGTAACTGGGACAAGTGGTTCTTCCTGTTTTTCCTTCTGGAGAAGCAAGTGATAAGAGTTCTCTTCTGATAAATATCAAACTAACACTTTCTACATCTAGGCAGCTGATCCTGCAGACTGCTAGTTGGATAGTTCTCATGATAGTAAAAAAAACCAGTTCTTTCCACCATGCAGGGTATCATCTCTGGTGAGGAATCATCATAGTCACAAACAGTCCTCTCCATAGTTAAAGAGTCATCTCAAGCATCATACTTTTGGGAGCAGCCCTCTCCCCAAGGTTGTATCTGCTCTGGCCAGGATACTCCAGGGGCAGCCTGGAATATCCTGGCCCCACAGCTGCCCTGAACTGCCCCTATTACTGCACCACAGTGGCTGCCTAAACAGGCGTCCTATTGAGCTGCCTGGCACATCCACCACTGCCAGGGGTCACTCATTTCTGAGGTCAGAATGAGGCACCCAGCAATGAAGCTGGGCACTTGTTCTGACCTCAGAATGAGCAACACATGGCAGTGGCAGATGCACTGGTGGCTCCGTGAGATGCCTACATAGACAGTCGTACCAGTGTGGGAATGGAGCTCTCTAGATCTTTCTGTAAGATCTGGGGCAACAGGTATTTTATTTTGTTCTAGTGTTGTTATACAGCAGTTCTGGAACTGAACATGCTAAATGTTGGAAATGGGAAGAGAAGAATGGGTCTTTTGGCCCATGCAGACATGGCCTAAGAGAGTGCTTTGCACTGCTCCTTTGTGTGGCTCTCTACAGATAGGTAGTGGTAGGACCTCAAACCAGAAGATGACAAAAATCCCAGCACACATGGGAAATCACATAGAACAGTGGTTCCCAACCTTTTCTATGCCCCACACCCCTCAGAAAGGTTTGATTAATGTTTGCACCTTCTACAAAACTAATATCACATTTGAAGATGAAAAATTCTAATTTCTAATTTTTAAACCATAAATTGAGCATACAAGAAATGGGCTCAGTCTTTCAGAAATGCTACTTGTGTATTCCTGCATGGCAGGGGGTTGGATTAGATGGCCCATGTGGCCCCTTCCAACTCCAAGATTCTATGATCCCCTCTTAAATTTCATAAATGAAATAAGGCACCATGAACAAATGGAAGTACCATTACTGGAAGTACCATTAGTGAACCACAACTCTAGTTTTAGATACTGTACCATTTAGAAAGGCATATCAGCATGAACCCTGCAAGCTTTTTTCACTGTCTATTAGTGACTATTCTTGCAGAAGAACCAACATTACGATTAGCGAACTGGTGCTCAGCAGGCCCAGAAAGTCAGCCAGCCTAAATACTGCTTTGCAAGAGGCTCCTCCACAAGAAAGAGTCTAAGTAAGATAATGATGGAAGAGACAGAAACAGCTAAAAAACAACAACAAAAAACCCCAACAGCTGCAGAAATGCCACCTCTGACTGTGGCACATAAGATATCAGAAAGGATTCTGTATATGCTGAATCCTAATTAGAGTTCTGCATGTTTAGAAAAAGAAATAAAGATGAGTGTGGGGTGGCTGGTGGTTGTGTTCTCAGTCGATGCATTATTCTTATTCATTTATTACTGGGGATAGAGATATCTTTCTTCACCTATTCCTTTAGGGAAAGTGCAATGTGATTCTCTTACCAACATTTGTTTGTTTATTTATTGAGTAAGTGAGACCCAAGGAAGCTCACAGATAAAATTGGTTAA